TTTTTGTGGGTCTTTATTGGGTTATTGTTAGGTGTTTCAACTTCAAGTCAGTTTTGTAAAAGATGCCCAAAAGCAGGAGGCAATGTGGGAAAGGCAACATGAATTTGCTGCTGACAAGATTTATGCCATGTGTTCCGACCTTGGTGGATTCTTTCTTAAGGTAGTTTGAGCCATTTCTTTGTTAATTTGTTTCTAGTTCCATGTTTTCTATGTTAACAGTGAAATTAGATAACTTCGAATGATTTTTTTTTTCTTTCGATTTCCTTTCCTGATATTTGATTAGAACGCGTTACTGTTTCATTTATTCTTGATTGTTCTTTTATGGGTTGAGTGAATTCTAGTTGTTATATAGCCTTTGGGAAATTATTCATCTTCTTATTTAATCTGTGGGTTTTCTTTTATGGTCTTGAAGTTGTACTAAAGAATTGGGTTTGCTAATATGTCAATTTGGTAACATAGGTTGCTCAAATTATTGGGAAGCCAGATCTAGCCCCAGCGGCATGGGTGAGAAAGCTTGTTACTTTATGTGATCAGGCTCCTGCAACACCATTTGATGCAGTTCAAATCCTGCTGGAGAAGGAGTTAGGTCAAAGCATTGGAGATATCTTTGAAAAGTTTGATGCAAATCCTCTCGGTTCAGCTTCAATTGCACAGGTACTCTGGCAACGCATCTATGTGCTTGAAGGTTCCTGTTACCAAGAGCATAAGAATTTGTCACGTTAGAAGTAATTATTTTAACCAACTGGTCTTTCAAAATATTAACTTATGTTGTTCAGTTGGAGAATTACTGAAATTATGATGGCTATAGGATACATACCTGACCTTTTCACAATGCTTTGTCTGAATCAGGTTCACTGTGCAAGACTGAAAGGTGATAAGAATGACGTTGTTGTCAAGGTAAGATCCTTTATAGATGATTACTTAATCATTGTACTGTCTACAAGAGTCTAACAATTAAGCATATGGTAGGTGCAACATCCTGGAGTCCAACATCTGATGATGACAGACATCCGTAACTTGCAAGCTTTTGCTTTATACATGCAAAAGACAGATATCAAATTCGATCTGTATTCTATCACGAAGGAAATGGAAAAACAGGTGCGTGTAATCTTTTGTCAGTGTTAGGTGGTGTAAAATTAATCAGCATCCAACTTTTGTCATTTTAAGGCCTGTCTCAGCTTTATCATACTAGTTGAGTACCTTTCTAAGATTTGGAATGAACCATTTCCATTGATCAAAATATATGTATGTCCCAGCTGGTCTATGTCCATCACATTCTTTCTCCTTTAAGCTATGCCATTTTTAAAACTATCCTAGCAAACTTATTTTTCTTCATCAACAGTTTTTAGATAAATTTAGTTTTCCTCAATTCCTCTTATTCTGGATAAATGATAATAAGCTTGAAATATTACAGAGTCACTGAAACCTTCTGTCCGATTTAAATTACTGGAAGATTATGGTTAGACTTTACCACTAAATCTGACCAGAATGATATTATCAAGATCCTGTTCCATTGTGAAATTCGGGACATTTGCATGTAGGCTCATAAAAGTTAAATTCATCTTCAATCCTAAAGTTTGATTTTGAAAGCTTAGTAACTCACATGTATTCTAAGCAATAATCTTAGGATGTAAATTCTGCTAATTGGATCATGCCTATCTAAAGAAACCTTCTACTTGGCTTTAAATTTCACACATTCTGGATATTATTGTTTACTAACTTATTCTCATGTATTCCATTCAAGATTGGTTATGAATTTGACTTTATAAGAGAGGCTAATGCTATGGAGAGAATTCGGCGTTTTTTGTATGAGAATAACAAAAAGAGTCCAGTTTTGGTTCCAAGACTGATACGGGATTTTGTTACAAGGTACTTTATAACCCTCCATGTTGTCATTTTGTCTCTACTTGCATTTGTGATATTTATATCTGTTACACTCATCTTAATATCCTCTGGATACTCTAACTTTAAAGGGTATCAATGGCTTATCCAAGAATATGGTACAATGATGTCTAAATTGCATCTGGTCACTTAGATTTATGTGTTTTAGCCCTATCATGTATTGTCTCTTATTGTTGATTGAGTAGTGTGATATAAGATGCACTTTTTATTCTT